TGTCTGACGGATCAGTTTGCGAGTCGTCTAACCAACCAACTTGCAGATTCATTGTCAGTTGGAAACCCGAACCGGGAGTCATTCACACAAACGCCTTTACGATATACTTTACCTGGGCTCCTCAACAGGACTATGCCTTCCCCCCTTCAATCTGATATCTAAAACCCTGATGAAGGTAACAATCGACTAAACAAAACTAGTTCTTGTTCCTCCAGTTTGGCAAGCCCCTTGGACTTCTAATATCTCAGCCAGTGTTGCTACTGAACAGTCGAACCCTCTTAACAGACCCGACCAACCTGATCCGAGTTCATCCAATGTATGCTTGCCTTCACTTGGCCGTGTTTCACATATCTACAAACGTTTCCAAGCCGAGGGCATTCCAACAAACGTTGCCGATCTACTCATTGCGGCAACTCGTACCTCCACCTCGTCATACCTCTGGACAGCAAATTGATCCTCTTTCATCATCTATAAGTGGCATTCCAATTTTCTTAAAAGAACTCTTTAACGAAGGCTTAGTAGGGGTTGACACATTATGCTGTTATAATTTCGAGCATAATACTATATGTGGAGCATAGAGCATAATGCCGGCATAATAGTGCATTTTGCCAGCATAAGAGTGCGTTTTTGGCGGCATAATAGTGCCATTTTGCAACATAACAGTTATTTCCTTTTTTAGAGCTACTATAGTCCATTTATTAAGTTAAAACTACAAAATTTCAAGCTATTTTAATGTTCTACATGGTTTCCATTACTATTGAGCACTTTAGACTTGTTCCCAGTGCATCCTCAACTGGGTTTAGTTCTTTAGGCCTGGTTACTCTCTTTAGGCCTGGTTACTGTCATTATGCCAGGTTCCTGAGACCTTCCTGTAAATTTGTACTTAATGGCAGCTATGGACGATTTAGATACGCAGGAAATACTAGTCACAAATGCATTAAGTTTGTTGAGAAGTGCCGATCCATCTACACTTGCACGAAGTCGAGTTGTTGCTAGCAATACAAGTAAAAATGGAGCCAACACGAAGCGGAAAGGGAAAGCAAAGGCCAAAGGTAACACTTCCATCCTCAAAACTGTCACAGTAGATACACGGCTTCGGGAGTTCAAGAACGAACCTTTTCCTAAGTCTGGTGGTAAGCTATTTTGTAACGCTTGTAGAGAAGAATTGTCTACAAAGGCCAGTATCATTAAA